TTAATAAAAAAAATTCACAACGGATGCATTCTAATGAATTCTGAGTCCCCTAAAACTTTTTATGCTTTCAGCTTAGTTGCTTTGTTTGGTCTTAGTTTTCACAGTTTTCTGAGATAGTTTGAAAGCATGACTCAGGGGAGATTTTTCCAAATGCCCCAAAGATACCAAGTTATCAAGATCCCTCCATTATTGTGATACCCCTCACATGGCTTTTTCTCTTTGCATGCCCTGTTCCTGTTAAATTCTCTTCCTCTCCACCCCCCACTTTCTCTGTACTTTTCCTTCTCAACTTCAAGAAATCCTGTTCATCCTTAATACACAATTCAAGTGTCACCTCTGCTGAGATTCCTTCTTAGATTTTACATGCAGATTTAGCCATTGCTTACCCTGAGCTTCCACAGTTCTTAGACAGAGGCCCACTATAAACTTATCAGTTTGTAGTATACAATATATTTCCCCCCATGACAGGGTAAGGTCCCAGAGGGCTGGGGTCGTGGCTGGAATAGCAATGAGGAACACCACCCTCTCTCAACTATTTCAAATATATTTTACTCCTGACAAAATTTCATCAAGGTAATTTCAAAATGTGTCCTAGGAGTGGAGAAGTCCATGTCAATCTCATCTGATATTCAAATACGTTATCTACTTTTCTCACGAAATCTGATGGAAAACAATTTCAAGTTAGAAAACATGAGTCACTTTCCTGTTTCTTACTTCCTTCTGTATCCTCTTGGACAAAAATCAATACTTCTGTGCCTCAGATGCCTCGTATGAACACAGGGAATAGATGGCCTGCTCGCCTCAAATTATTTTATCCTCAATTCAGGTCATAAAACAGAGTAGGAAAAATCTATCTTGGAAAGTAAGATCTTATTATTATTGGATAAGATCTGCTGAATAATTTGAGTCTGAGCTGGAAGAACCAGACGGGAATGCAGGGGAAGAAAGCAGATACTAGCCATGCTCTGTCATGGAGCAAAAGCCCTTATGTTTCAAACTACAGAGACAGCGAAATGTTCATGTTTAAAACAGCTACAAGGATTGTTTAGACTCCACTAAATTCTTAAACCACAGCTGTGAGATTTTATTATTTTTCTTTGTTTTGAGGGAGGGGAGGGGATGGTAGGCAATGGAACAAAGAGATGGAGGCTTGAATGTGCGTAATTCACACCAAATTCATTGGGTAATTGATCCAATTTTTATTTACAATACCCTGTGTAAATACTTGGATATGGAGTAAAAACAGACTCAAGGGGTTCAGGAGGGTTGTGCTGCAGATGTGACTCTGCCACAATTGTGGCATGAATTTGGCAAGTCCCTTCAACTTCCCGGGCCTGGGTTCCTCCATCTTTCAAATGGGGTAGGGACTCTTTCTTGTTTATCCTGTTTTCTCAGTATTTATAACACTCTTGGATAATATTAGGTATACCTTTAAATTATATAAATATAAATGTGATAAAAATGTTTTATTTATAAATAATATAAATATGTTTGTGTACTTGTATTTAAAGATAAAAAAGGTATAGATACATAAATGAGAATATTAGTCTAGATGGTAGAAATTTCTTTTAGATATAACATTCAAGAGGTAGAGAATGCATTACCAACAGGCCTATTTTCTTTCTTTCTTCCTTTCTTGTTTTTTTTTGTTTTTTTAGAGAGAGCGAGAGTGTGGGGGTTAGGGAGGAGCTGAGGGAGAGGGAGAGAGAGGATCCCAAGCAAGCTCTATGCTCAGCATAGAGCCACGCATGGGGTTCCAACTCACGACCCTGAGATCATGACCTGAGCTAAAACCAAGAGTCAGACGCTTAACAGACTGAGCCACCCAGGCACCCTATTTTCTTCTTGAAAGTAAGTGGTAGAACTCTTTGCTCTTCCTTCTAGGGCGTTAAATAGAATGTAGAAGAATCAGGTAAAACGTAACAGAAATCTATTATTACCTCCATGACCAAGCACAAGTGGTCACCCTGGGACTCAGTTTTTCCATTTGCAAATTGGCCACAGCTATTTAGATTGTGAAGATTGGAGATTAGCATGAAAACCATATTTCCATATCTGCCACAGGAATGTTCACTTCCTTCTTGCTTCCTCTCTATGGGAACTAGCACAGGGCCCATGCATAGTACTTACTCAATAACTTGTTGATTGGTGGTTTGAGATTTCTCAAACACAGTACAGTTATTTGCCCATACATTTTAAATCTTGTGGGAATTCCTGTTTTAGTGAAGTTGCAAATCCTTCCAAAATTTCCTACTCACCAAAGGATGTCTTAGTAAAATATGGATACGGGGGAAAAAAAAAACCAAAACACTAATTTCACAGTAAGCATAGACAATCTCCAAGATTCTGTTCATTTAAAAATTATGGTTCCAGTAAATTAAGTTTCTCATTTATGTTTAAGGCAGACTCAGAATGCCTCAGAATTAGAAACAGATGATAGCTTGATACATCTTCTTTAATTTCTTCAGAACAGCAGATATCTCCTTAAAATCCCTTCATACAACCCACCTTAATAGGTTTGTACAATTCTTTCACATAAACCATTGAAATTGTGGGAAGAAAAGTAAATTGGGGCTCTGTTGATCCAGATATCCAGCAATACAAAAAGTGGCTTTTTTATTTAAAAAAATTAGTTCATTTGAAAACAAACATTTTAACTTTCAAAAGAGGTTAATGTTGAGAATCAGTGCTTGAATATTTATATACTGTTAACACCAAATGAATCACAGGGGCAAAGCCCAAGAGGAAGATGTGACTCCGTCACTCTGATTCCTAACGTTTAGCCACAAAGATGGCGTTTTTTGGACTTGGAATTGTCCTATGAATTATATTCTCTCTAAAGTAACAGCACAACAGAACTATTAACCCTCTTTTATTCTTAACCATCTCAGAGGTGAGCTGGCTACTCCTGTGTTAATCACACTGAAAAAGTTTTGCTCAACTATTTAATATACACAGTGAAGGTGAGAGCAACCCAGCATTTTGTTATGTCAACAATTTCTGCCAACATTTCATTATGTCAAAAATGTCTGGTTATTGGGAAGGTGACAATGATTAGTCAGTACAAACAGTATATGGGGAAGGTCAAAACACTAGACATAATGTCACCTCCAGGATAAGTATATTGCTGAAGGATGCCCTATCCTACATCTCCTCTCTCCACAGTCCCTCTCCATGGAATAGATGACTAAAAACCAGCCACTCTATTCCCACATCCCCCAAGTTCCTGGTGAAACAGGAAAATACCCAGCCAGCAAGCAAAGGTAATCCACAGGCACACTGTGGGGCTTTTGCAGCATCTCTCTGACCTCACAGACTGCGGAGGCATTTCCTTTAATTCCTCTCCTGCCTTCTTCTTAGAGCTGTTTCTCTCCTATTTTATTCTCACATTGTTCTTCCTCCTTGTATCTGACTGACTATATTCTTTCAAAAGATAGTTTTATTTTGCATGGATTATTTTCTCTTTATCCTTCCTCCTTCTTTCCCTCCCTCCCTAATCCTCACCTATTTTGATTCTTCCCCTTCAAACCATTACATTAAAAAAAAAGAAAAGCTTTTAGAAAATTCCTCATTCTTACCCAGTTGCAAAGTTTTTTACTTCACGTTTCCTTATTAGAAGAGATAACTTATTTTTCTCACTTAGACCAAGCATTTAGTGATTGACCAAATTCAGATTCACCTATTTCTTTTCTTTTTATAGTAATCCCTTATGGTGTTTTTTTTTTAGGAGGGGTGATGTGGGGGGTGTTCAATTTTATGTCTCTTCCTCCTTTGTTGTCTGCTAGACTCTCACTCCCTCTTCTCCTTTCTTTACTGATCAACTTTCTTACCACCTGTGGACTCACTACCAAAGTTATCAACTTTTTTTGGGTGGGGATATTTCTTACACCAAGAATGTTGGCCTCAACTTTGAATCTTTTTGTCAAGCACAAAACTATGGAAGATATATATATATAATATATATATAAGATATATTATATATATATTTAATATATATATTACATATATATAATATATATATATAGAGAGAGAGAGAGTCCATGTTAACTCTAATATTTCTTCTGGCATCCCCACAGATATATCCCTCATGGGGATCTTTTTGAATTTATATAAAAAGTTATATTTACTTTTTTATTTTCTAGTGATAACCATAGCCCCAAGATAGTCACCTTTTGATCGGCCTCAAACACTGTTCCTATCTATTGTTTGAATTTGTTATATTTGGCCTTTTGAGCCCCTCAAGAAACCTGACCACTGACAACTTCTGTTGTGTTTTTTTTTTTTAATGGAGCAAAACAGATTTACCAGGCTTTACCTCCATTAGCATCCCATGTCCCTTTAAGATGTAGCTTTCTCTTCTAAACCTGTTAACCACAAAATTTGGTTTGATTACCCTGCACAGGTCCCGCAAAGAATGCCATTCCTTCAACCCCGTCACTTTCAAAAACCAACTTTCCTCATGGCTTTCAAAGACCACACCATACTGTGTCAGATCAAAGACTAGGAAAAGGGGACAGGGAGATCCTAATCAAAGAAACAAACACAACAATCAGCACTGATACTCCTTCCTGTGTGTCTGTGTTTGCGTATGTGTGTTTCATTGACTATTCATAGCACCTCTTTCTTCATGTGAGTATTTTTGAGACCAGGAGCATATTTTCCCGATACCATGGCTATTTCATAAATATCATGTTATTAACTTTAAAAAGGACATATAAATTACGATCAAATATCACCCAGCAAGAAATCAAAGGAAAAAAAAAAAAAAAAGATGTTCTTTAAGTTCTATACATTATCGCTGGCTGTCTTTTCATTCTGACTTGTCTGCATCTTTTCAGCAGTCCTTATTACTTTTAAACATCCTGTCAGATACTTGCGTTTAACTGCTACAGCTAGCTAGCCCCCCACGGCATTATTATTATCATTATTATCAGTATTCACTCTATAGAGTTGCCTCTCCAGAGCTCCCTCCTTCCCCAGCATTTGGTATTAAAACTTACCGCTTTTACCAACTCCCCCAGCTCCCAGCATTACCACCTTGTACTCTCTGGACCCGCCTGATGCACGGCTGGGGGAGCAGCTGGCTTCGTTTTCTACCTCCATCTTACCCGAGGGACGGGAGGAGAAAAAAGAAAAAGTCGCCCGCCCGTGTCAGGTGCTCGCTCAGATACTAAGCAACTCTAAAACTGTGTCAAAAGAAAGGTTTAGTACGAGGTAAGAACCATCAGCGTCGGGGGGCTCGCTGCTGGTCCTCTTGCTCGAGCGGGTCTCATAGCAACCACTTCAATTGCCTCCAATAAAAATCTGTCTTTCACATCCCCTCCTCCTTCTATCCTTCACTCTTGCGTCTCCCACGATTTCTCTCATTCTCTGTCTCTGTCTCTGTTTGTTGGGTTTTTTTCCCCCCTTTCCCTCCTCCGTTTCTTTCTTCATTCCCCTTCCTCACTCTGTCTCTCCTTTCTCTCTCCTGCCCCCTGCATGGTCGCAGTTGTTAGAAGCACGCATTTGGCTACTTTCCAGGCTGCTGGAATGGAGTGAATCTAAGACTTAGAAGATGCTGTGTCTCACAGGCTGACTTCTGTAGCTACAGCTTCAAAGACACTATTTTCTTTTAATCAGAGTCAGTTAATTAAGAAAGATGTCTGTTGCTTATCTCCTTGCTTCCATCTTCTTGCAGGGTTTTCATTCTGGGAAAAGAGATGTTACCAATTGAGAAGAAAAAAACCCCAGTAACTCAGGGCTCTTAAGGACGGGTCTTTAGTGTTGTTGAAATAATAGCTGGCTACCAGAAATTGTTTCAGCTCACTTGACAGCTGCAGTTCTAACATAAGGAGGTATTTGAATTAGGTCATTGCCATGTTTGGACAGGGATCATCCTTGTTTACACTAGTTAAGGATAATCTAAAACACAAGGATTCTGCCAAGCATGAAAGAGATACTTAATAAATATTTTTGCTGACAATTATGGCAGTATTAAAGATCCTAGAAGATTCTTTTTCAAATGTCCAAATTCCTACCTCTTATTTGAATTCTTTCAAATTCTGCTCTTCTCTACTTTGTCTGTTTTTCTTTGAAAAATTATTAAATTATAGAGGTCTTACAATGCTTTCAGTAATCACTAATTGTCATAGTCATACCCTGTCTTTCAAACAAGTGATAATGATGTTCTGTAGGTTTATTGTCTATTTTCTGACTGTGAAATTGTATCATGATTAGATGCAGTCAAGTGTTTGGTATACATAGACTTATCTTTCTATTTAGATGTTAAAATCTTCTAGGAAAGGAACTGTATTTAATCAGTTCCTTATGACTTTAGAGTGTATGACCAAGCATTGGGCACAGAGGAGATGCTCAACATATTTTTGTTGGTAACTGGAGAGGTAACAAATAGTCATAGCCAAGAGCACAGGATCCGGAGCCTGATTGCTTGTGTTCAGATCTGGACTCAGCCACTTAATAGCTGTGTGACCTTGGGTAAATTACTTCACCTCTCTGTGCCTCAGTTTCTTCATCTATAAAATGGTTTATTAAAACTCTGCTCTATTAACTCATTAAGTGAGTTGAATGTTTGCACAGTGCTTTAGACAGTGTCTGGCAAATTGTAAGCACTATTTAATTGTATGATATTATGATTATGATTATTATTTTGAGTTAATGGTGCTCCCAGCCCACTGTTTATAAGCACTCACCAGAAGAGAAAATCATCTCAAGTGTTTATTGGCCATCTACATGCCTTCTTTGCTAAAGTATCTGTTCAAAGTAGATATATCAAGATGTTTGTTTCTTCATTACTGAGTTTTGATGGTTCTTTATATATTCTATATAAGTGTTTTATCAGATATATGCTCTGCAAATATTCCTCCCCAGTCTGTGGTTCTTCTACAGTGTCTTTCAAAGGGCAACAGTTTTAAATTTTGATGGAATCCAATTTGTGCTTTAAAAATGAACCTTCCTGGGGCGCCTGGGTGGCTCAGTTGGTTAAGCGACTGCCTTCGGCTCAGGTCATGATCCTGGAGTCCCGGGATCGAGTCCCACGTCGGGCTCCCTGCTCAGCAGGGAGTCTGCCTCTCTCTCTGACCCTCCCCCCTCTCATGCTCTCTATCTCATTCTCTCTCTCAAATAAATAAAAACAAACAAACAAAAACAAACAAACAAAATGAACCTTCCTCCTGGACGCTCCCATCGGACGCCCTGCTTGTATCACTCTTATCCTCAACGAGGTCAATATCATTCTCCGTCTCTGCAGGGAGCATGTCACCCTCCAAGTTCTAGCTTTAGTTCAGCCTCTTCTCGTGTTTAACCTCTGTGCCTGAAGAGTCCTTCAACTTATCCTCCCTGAGGACAGTCTCCCTGTCCTTTCCCCTTTTGCACTACTCAATTCATTCTGTATACTAATGTCAGGGAAATCCACTGAAAATGTCAACCTGACCAATCCTATTGTACACATATTCATGAATCAAATGCCTAAATGACACAGTCTAATAGCCTAGAATGGCACATAGGAACACAAAGCATTTATTCCAGTCTTGTGTCCTCACACTCCATAGAACAGAGTCAGGCAAAGTGGGCTACTTGCCTTTCTTCCAACAAAACTGTCATTTCCATAATTGGATCTAATAAAGAACTATAGCTGTAGTATAATTATCCTTTAATTGATTCACTGAAACTTTATTCCTCAATGAAAAGAGATATGTAAACAGTAGCATTTCGATTCAAGGCCTTTCTGGGTTTTGTTTCTACTTCTGGTGCAAAATTCTTATGACTTTGAGCAAATCACTTGTGCCTCTGGCTATCTGTTCCACCATCTGTTACTCTGTTTTCCATGTCAGGCATTCTGATTTGGTGGTAAAACACAGGGATTGTCATGCCAGCTGTGTCCTTGGTGTTCTTTTTTACAATTATTTTAATATTGGTTAAGAGGAAAGAGCCCATGGAAATGTCTTTTAACGGTAAATAGATGAATGGCTTGTCAAATATCAGCGGGCATTGTGAGAGGGAAATTTAGTGAGTTAGCCTTCTCCTCAATGTTTAATGCATCTGTCCATACTCCTTAAATGGAAGTCAGCAAGATTTTTCCCTATTTACATGGAAGATGAAAAACAGGAAGGACGGGGCGGGGGGGACTTCCCCAGTATAAAGCTTTCTTTGTCTACCTCTTTTTTGAAATTCTAAGGTACTCCACTCTAGTCCCTTCTCTTGAGTTACTAAGGGCCACAAAACTCCTGACATTTGAACTTTGAAGCATTCTAATGCTACTGATTTTCAGTTTTGGTTAGTGAACTTTTGTGAATTTGCATACCTGGCTCCTTAACCTGTGCACCCAAAAGTCTAAGGGGGTGTATGTTCACATGTGTGCATGTGTGTTTGCATGTCAGAGATGACGGGGAAGAGGAAGGGAGATAAAGGGAAAAGGAAAGAAAGGAGGGGTGAAGAGAGAGGAAGGTATCTTTCAGGTGTATACATGAAATTGAAATGCAATAGTTAGGTAACTAAAGTCATTATATGGCAGATTACTAAACTCTTAGGAAAATCATTAAATGATTGAAGTTTATATTTGCTTCCTCTAACCTACCCTGGTACTTGCCATCCTTTTTGAATGTCATGTGATTCCCTTTGAGTGCTCATGTCCATCAGATGAAGACCCACGTGTTCCATGTTGTTTCAGAGCCACTCAGCTCCCTGAGCAAGATCCAAGTAAATGCCACCTCATTTCTGTCAGCTGCTGCTCACCTTTCCAGTCCTTAGAGGACAAGCAATTCCTTCAAAAGGAATACATTAACCTATTTACATGGATATCTTTCTGAAGTCCTTTAGCCAAAGTATCCAGTCACTGCGGAAGCCATCATACTTTAATCTAGGGGAAGGTTGTGCATATCCAGAGTTCTTCTCTTACTTATCTTGTCACTTACAGGCAGACCTCCTGACACCCCTGTCAGCATAAGCCACTCTTCCCTTTATTAGAGTATTTACGATATTTCTTACAATGATTTATCTACCTTCCATTTCACTTCACTCAAAAGTGGTGAACCTGCCACCATATTCATCTTTATCTCTACAGAGTTTAGCACAGTGCGTGGTGTATACTACATGATGAAGCCATTTTTATTTAATGAGGGAATTAACTGTACCAAGTGGGTGACTGTCTGCTGCACTATTAATTAAATTAATTAAATTAATTAATTATTAATTAATTAAAGGTTAATTATATTAACCTTTCAAAGTGTATTATTTACTATTTGTATCCTAATGAAAAGATAAATCATGGAGGGAAGAAACAGTTAACAACTTTGTTGATAACCTTTGGGTAAATTCATGTTTGACATGCACATTCTTACCATGAAATGTAAGACCATTGTAAACCAGAAGAAAGTACAGCTGCTCAGGATAAACAAACAAAACTAGAAACATCAAGTGGAAAAGAGCTAATTGTACAAATGGGAGACAGAGTTCCATCTGCACAGCAGAGACTTCTGTATCACATTGACCTCCTCATGATAATAACTCAGTAAAATTCACATTAGGTGTTAATAATTCTTGTGGAATAACTAAACTTTTTTCCTGAAGGGTTATTAAGGTTGAAATACCTGAAAACAAGGCTCTTATACATAATCTAAATAGCCTGCATTCATTCATTTATTCATTCTAACATGGATTCATTCTTTAAATATGGATTAACTTGCTTATTCTCAAAATCATTCACTCAACTGTGTTAGGGTTTTTCAAAAAATAAAGGAAAACACAATACAGTCCCTGAGTTCAAAGTGATTATGTTCTCATGTGGGAGAAAGACACCTATATACCAGTTTCTGGAATAAGCCAGCATGTGGCAGGTAATTGAATAGATGAATGAGAAGAGTCTGACAACAATATGAGGGAAGGAGAGACTGATTCAAATAAAAAGACAAAGTGAAGTGTCTAGGAAGGGGGAGTATCTTGGACTAGATTTAAAACAGGACTTCAAATAGAAGGTATGACTAAAAGCAGGGGTATTCAAGATTAGTGAATAGAGTGTTTAGTGAATTGCAAATTAATACTACATTGTTGATGCGTAAGAACATAGGAACATAGTCCAAAGTTTGGATGGTAGGTAAATCACCACGAGC